AGATTCAATTAATAATTTTTGTTAACTTAGTTTAAATAATTTTTAGTGAGGTTTAGAATTAAATTTAATTACAATGCAATACTTTTAAAATATCAATAGTTTTTAAACTCCTGTGACAAATAAAATCTTAATAACTACAACAGATTAAAAGCAAAGGCATTTAAAGTATTTGTATATTGTTTTTTATATTTGTCAATACTTTGTTGTTGTAAAAAAAAGTGTATATTTTTTTGAAATAATAATTCAAGTAATCAATTCAAGTGAAAAACCTAATGGTATATATATCAGTATGTGCTTTATCTGAAAATAGAAAAGTGAATGTTATCAATAGTTTACAATATTACTTTTATTTAAACAAATTATTTCTAGTCTACACTTAGCCCTGACTAGAATATACGAAAAATCCACTGAATGAAAATTTTTTAAAAAAAATAGTGATAGGCAACTCAAAAATTTGGCGGGTGACCAAAATTAATGAACTGGTTACTTTCAGTCGGGGGGATTTGAGCTTGAAAAGGATCTCAATTCTGCTACAGCATAGGGTTTACAGTGGCATGTGGACTTTAACTCAGATAAAACTCAATTTTTTTCAGTTAATCTAGATCTTCCTATATTTATGAATGGCAATGTACTCAATGAGTCATCTACCCTTCGCCTTCTAGGATTAACTCTTTCAATCTTTCTTGGAAACCATATATCACACGGTTGGAGCAGTCCTGTATAAAAACTTCTAAGATAATTTTATCTTTCTTAATTTTATCTTAGATTGTTTTAATGTTATATATTGACACAATAAACATTGTTAATTTACATTTATTATATTTAATGTTTGATAAATGTATATATACATATATATACAGTTAAGAACCCAGAGTTTATTTGGGGATACTGCTTTTTTTTCGGAAACATTGGTGGTGGTGGTGGGGTGATGTTTTTAAGTTCCCCCTCCCCCACTCTTCTCCTTCCCTAGTTAAAACCAGTGCCGTGACAATGAATTTTAATCATTTTTTCAATCATAATTTTAATCATTTGAGTTTATCTTGTTTAGTTTCATCCTAAAATAAAAAGTTAATTTAAAGGCATTCTTTCTACTACTGTTACTTTAGTTACAATAAGAAAACTATTTTACTTAAAACTATAATAAACACTTTTGTTGCAAATACCACGCTATTGTAAATAATTATTGAAAATTGTTCAAAGTATTTTAAACATTTATTAACTTTATCTCCACATATATTAAATCGCGTAATATTTGTAAAATTAACAAAATAGTTTGTAAAATTAACAAAATAGTGTTCGAATAACTATTTGAACAAAAAACTTAAGCTGAATGACAAGTCAAGTGAGAATGAATTTCGGTTGATGGAGATAGAAATGATATCCTTTAAGCAGCAACCATGATAGTATTTGTAGAAAAGAGAAAGTTGTAACTTTACAACAATGGGAAAAGCTTAACAGATAGACTGGGTCCAACTACATTTGATTTGCGTTTTTTGGACCTTATCGAGAAGAGAAAGAACATCATTAGAAGAATCAACCTAAATATGAAAAAAGTATTCCATATAGGGACAAATAAGAGATTTGTAGGGGTAGAGAATGAAATCAGGGGATGATAAAGAAAAGCAACCTTAACGGATGCTAATTTAGCAATTGATTGTATGCATGGCTCACGTGAAAGGTTAGTAGTAAACGATAACCCAAAAAGAACTAAAGAAGAGGACTCAGTGAGAGGGTTGCCATTCATTAATATAGGAATTTCAACAGTATTAATATAGCTGTTTGCAATAAATAACTGAGTTTTGTTGGAGTTAAAATTTACAAGCAACTGTGAGTCCCCTTTTTTTTTTTTGCAACAACCATGCTTTTTAAAAAGCATTGCAATTAGGTTTTTATAAATGACATATGTGTTACAACAATAATTATACTTTCGTTAGAAAAATTATACTTTTGCGCTTCCCGCCGAGGCCTATATATATATATATATATATATATATATATATATATATATATATATATATATATATATATATATATATATATATATATATATATATATATATATATATATATATATATATATATCACGGCTGTTTCAGAGTGAGCTTTACGGCTTCTTGTTTTGTTTTGAAAATTTTGACTTAGGGGGTGTTACTAAAACATTTATAACTTTTGAAATATTAGAGATAATTTTGTTTTGTAAAAGGAATAAAAACAACAATAAAATGTTTTATCATAGGACTTTAATACAATAGTCAAAAAACTTCTTTTAGTTTATAAAAAGCGCAACAAATGATGAACTTGGTTAAATTTTAGTAATTTGTTGTTACTTTTTGTCACAAAAAAATCAGAAAAATATATTTCTGATAGTTATTATTAAATTCACTCATTGTTTAACAATTAATAAAATAAAAAAATCTTACTTAATTGTTAAAGGAAAACTAAAACAGCCTTTATTAAAGTCTGCAAGCAAACCGCATTTCTTGCAAAATTATGAAAAATGTTGTTAAAGGGGGGATTAGCTGTTAAATGAGCACGTTTTTAAGTCTAAAGTTCTTGTTTTAGAAAATAATTCACCTAGTTTATAAATTCAATGCATTGTAAAATAAAAACAGATTTCAAGTTAGAAATATTTATTCTTAACATTTTAAGCTAAAGCCTTTAAAAAACTTGAGCAATTCTTTTCTATGCATACAGTTTTAATAATATGGTGTTAGGTTGTTAATAAATAAAGACTCTAATAAAATAATTCATGACCAAAACTGAGTTAAAGTTTTTGAATTAACCTCGCTTTTGGTAATTATTTTATGGCACTTGAATCAATCTTTTTACACAAAAAATAAGCGTTTCTTTAATTATACAAATAGCTAATTTAAATTGTTTGATAATGTGTTTTTATTCTCATAAAAACTTTGATTGATCCATTAATAAGTTGATCCATTAATAAGTTCTTTAAGTAGAAAACGATCTTTGAACACCCAGTTGATAATAGATTTATGCACCATTCTAAAGAAAAAACCGCCTAATTTTGTTTATTTTATACTTCAAAATTCGTCTCGCTAAGAAAGTTGTTTTCATAAAATTTATTACATAATTTGGTGCGGATTACAAAAATAATATGATTTTCATTATTTAATAATAAAATTAAAAATATAAATGCATTAAAAAAGTTAAAAAATAAAAATAAGCAATCCGCACCAAAAATTAGATAGAAAAGACATTTATTTATAAAGGTTCCAAATTTCAAACATGAGGCATGTAGCTATGTTATGAAATCTTAGTTGACCCAAGACAGGTTTTCTGTAAAAGCCACAAAAAACAGAAAAGTGATCCCAAATCATTAGCAATATTTAAACATTAATATTTTTATTCTGTTTAATGTAAATATTTATTTAAAAAAAAAGATATGTCTTTTATATTTTTTTAATTTGAAGATGAAAGCGCTTATAGGAAAAAAAAACTATTATTTTAAAGTTAGTGCATTTTTAAACTTTTTTTGCGGGAATACTTTTTTTTTTTGATAAACACAAAAATAATTGTGACGTCAAGCTTGCTTTTATATTAAGTGAAACAGCCGTGATATATATATATATATATATATATATATATATATATATATATATATATATATATATATATATATATATATATATATATATATAAGGGTGTCATAAATGATATCTTTTAAGTTGTTTGTTAATGGTTATCTCGATTTATAAACTTCATGTTTTCTCTTTCAGTAACTTCCAACACTAATAGTGGTTGCTTGCAGCCTTGATGGAAGGAAGATGTTTAAAAAAACAATCAAATAAAACATTTCTTTAAAACTAAATTTTTAAATTCTATGTTTTCCTAACTATTTTACATTCCTTTGAAACTAAATTAAAATTTTTAATATCATAGGCCAGGTGAATAAAAATGAGCAATTACTTTGATTCAGCATTACATTACAATAAAAACTTTGGCAGTTTTGCACAGCTTGCATTATATATATTATATATATATATATATAACTTGCGAAAAATATATATAAATATATACATATCTATTCACGTAAGGTTAAGCAATTTACTAAATAACTGCTCAGCTTTAAGTGAATGTAAACTGAGTAAAAGCAATTGCTTATTTTTATTCACCTAGTTTCATATTTAACTTAAACTTATTCAATTAAAAAACAAATAATCTGTTTTTTTAACAAAAAAATTTACAATTGCAGTTTAATATTTTTTTTTAACGACTTGATATTTTTTGAATAAAGTCACATAAATGATATTAAAATATAATTTAAATATTCCAAAAGATAATTTAAATACTCCAAAAGATAAAAAACTGCTGATATGTACAAAAATTGGCACTTCGTATATAAAATGTGAGCAGCGTAATGCTTCTAAGCAAGGAATGATGTATATATATATATATATATATATATATATATATATATATATATATATATATATATATATATATATATATATATATATATATATATATATATATATATATATATATATATATATAAATATATATATACAAATTTATATATCTCCATATATATAAAGGCCTATTCTAGAAAAAAATTTGGGAAGCGGTACCCCTCCGTCTCAAAAAAATTTAGCAGAAAAACAAACTATATATTTGCTGTAAAAAACGTAAAAAAAAAAAAGGTCTTCAAATTTTATTTTGGACGGCGCCCAAATACAGCCAACGCTGTTGAAAATGGTCTAGAATAGCCCCTGATATATATATATATATATATATATATATATATATATATATATATATATATATATATATATATATATATATATATATAGATATATATAAATATATATATATATATATATATATTCATACATATATATTATTATGCATACACAATTAAGTGTGCACTGTTAATAATTCTTATTATGGCTAATCTCACTATGTTAAGAAACATATTTATAAATATAAACAAGAATAGAAGCCAAAATAGAAAAATTTTAAAACTAATAAATAATTCATACCTTTTTTTAAAAAGAGCATTAATTGTTGATTGCTTGCTTTGCTAAAGAAAATTAATTATTTTTCTGAATGACTTAAAGAGGCTTGTATTATTTCTAAAAGTTTAAGCTATAAATTTGAATAAAAAATAGAACACATAAAAATAAAATGCAATACTTATAAAATACATTACAAAAAAAATAAAATACATAAAAAAAACGCAAGTAATAGAAATAATTTACCCTATTAGTTTTACTACTTCCACATGCTCTGAAAAATAATTTAAAACAGTTATCTTTTTAAATTTAAAAAAGTTTTTTAACTTTTTAACAAATTATTAAAATTATAGAGGTGCTAGAGCCTTCATTATTTAACAATTCCCTAATATTTTTTGAAAAAAACAGTCTTTCAAAAGTAGGTCAACCTAGGACTTAAAAGAAGCGAAATTAAACAAAATATTATAAAATAATAATCCTTTTATATATAAATTTTTATTTTAGAATTGTGTGCTTAAAAACTATAGTTTACAGGGTGACCAATCAAATTTGAGAATGAAATTCCATGACTTTTCCTTGACTTTCCATAAACTTTTATGATAAATCACTAGAGTAAAATAATCAGTACTTGCCACGCACGAAGCATTTGCAACTTGCCATGTACTACTTGCAACTTGCCATGTACTACTTGCAACATGTACTAAGCACTGTTTTTACCATGTACCATGTACTAAGCACTTGCAACTTGGTCATTATAAAACATGCTAACTAAAAATTAATTGGTAAAAAGTTCTTAAATCGTGTCTAAAAAAAACTCTTTTTTTTTTACTTTTCTGATAACTTACACTGCAAAAATATCTTTTTGAAAAAGGACTTAGACTAGACATATTAGAACTTTTCTTTGCATCCTAAAAATATCACAAGTAGAAAAAAATAAAAATTTTTAAAAAGTTCCATGAATTTTCCGTGACTTTCAATGAAATTTAATCAATTCCATGACTTTTTCTATGACCAAATAAAATTCCATGACATTTCCATGATTTTCAGTGGTCACCCTGGTTCATCAAATTCAAAATTCAATTTCAAAATTCAATTTTCAAATTAAAAAATTAAAAATTCAAATTTCAATTTAAATTCAAATTTCAAATTCAAAAAGTCATTTTTATGTTTAATTTTTAGGCAATTTTATATAATAAAAGTGTTTTATAAAATGATTTTTTTTTTATATTTTTGTTTTCCTTTAAGTACCAGGTTGACCTACTTTTGACAGACTTTTTTAAAAAATATCAGGAACCCATTAAATAATAAATGGTCTAGCGACAACCCTAAAGAAAATCTTAATTAAAAATTTTTTAAACTCAGCGTTATTTCATTAAATAAAATACATTTGGAGGTCCCAGTAAACAATTTTTAAGAATGTTGTTTTTAAGGTCACTCTTGACCAATATATTCAATAGGAATCAGAATTAACCAATATCTTTGATTGTAATCAGAACTGATAAATATCTTTAATTGGAATCAGTATTTGATCAATATCTTTAATAACCTGCTTTTTTTTCAGAGTTTTTTCAAGAGACAAAGCAGTTACGTAATGGTAGAGTTCCCACTTAGGCAAGAGGTTCTGATTTCGATCCTGACCATGTTGCTGGAAGTACACTCAAGCTGTTTCTAATAACAGTGGCCTTGTTCATAAAGGTTAATGCTTTGAAGTTAAAGAGTTAAGAGAGGGTTTTAATCACAATACATATATATATATATATATATATATATATATATATATATATATATATATATATATATATATATATATATATATATATATATATATATATATATATATATATATATATATATATATATATATATATAAATGTAGCCTTCTCAACTGTAGTGGCCCATTTGACCAAAATAACTTTATTTTGTGAAAAAAAACAAAAACAATATAAATAAATACCCTTTATTTTGTGGGAAATAACAGATTTGAAAAAAATATTACAACATGTTTATTAACATGTTTAATGACTTTCTCGAGAACAAACAGTTAGTGCTGTATATGAAGTAGGTGTACATGTGGTAACTTGCTTTTTAAGAAATAGTTTGATCTCTACCATGTCTTTGGTAGTACTGCACTTTACGCAGCGGCCTTGTATATAAAGCTGCAAAATTTATATATAAAGTTTAAGTAAAATTTGTATATTAAGTTACAAAATTTTTTGTTCAATAATCATTTGTCACATTTTTAAAATATATTTTTTTTTTTACAGCTGTCCATGTGAGTCATCTAATCTTAATGTCTTCAATGTTGATCAGTTATAAGAACAATATTCATATTTTCTATTATTGTCAACCTTTAAAAAGTGTTTATTGCTTGTTTTTTTTTTTTGTTCTTTATTGTGATAAGTTTTTTATAATTTAAATTTTTATAAAAAAGATTTGAAAAAATTTATTTATAAAAATATATATTTGCATTCCATGACCAGTGGCATACCTGTTGAAGAGGTTAAAAGTCTTTTATTTAGTATGAGTAATGGAAAAAGTATTTTTTTATAAAAGCAAAGTTAAAGTAAACAAACAAATGAAATCTAACTTAAAATTACAAAAAAAAAATTAAGTAACCATAAGAAATTAAAGTTAACAATAATCAACAGGATTTAATTGTAACATTCTAGATAACTAAAATGTTACAGTTTTTGATTATTTTTTAATGTTAATTCAAAATTCTATAACAATGTCTTTATTTTAGTTTAAAGTAAACATTAGAAAAAAAAACATGCATACTTGTGATCCGTAGCTTCTCTTCCGTCTGTTAGAACAGGCATTATTTTATTTTTAATTAAAGCTTTTATAATTTTATCTAAAATTGAACAATATAAAAATATAACAATATCATTTAATAAATGTAATAATACTTAATAACTGACGAAAGACGATAGGTATATAGTTAATATAGTTGTGATATAGTAACGAATAAATTATAGTTAAACAACAAGAGTATTATTTAGTTTATCAGGTTTCCCGCGTGAACACTAATGTATTAATACACCGACAACCGAATAATTTTTATTTTAATTGTAATCGTTTTATAAAATCCGTACGAAACCTAAGAATTTAGATAACTCCTCTCACCAACCTTCCTCCCCATCTAATGCAATGCGTATTTTTCAACTCATTTCCTCTTTACTCTCCCCCCCCCCCCCAAAAAAAAAAAAAAAATTGTCAGTTTTCTCCCTTTCTTTGTGCATTAAAAAAATTTATTGGAGTGAACTTTTTTGTTAGAGAAAAGTAAAAAGTTGTATCGTTAGCTGTTTTAGATCTAGGTACTGTAGATTATGGGTTGTGCTTGTGGACAAGAGATTATATAGAAAAATGTAAGTTATTAACTTTAATGTAAATCAAATGACATTTTCACTCAGTCAAATATGTTTTGGACGACATAAATTTGATCTATCATTTGCTATTAATCAATTATTATTATTATTTTTTTTTTTTCAAGTTGATTAAGGTACCCCAAGAAGTCCTTACGGTCTTATCACAGAGCACCGCGGAAGAGCATTTAATAGGAAGTTCATGCCACCTTCCCAACCGATGTCGCAAAACTTGCCCAGAGGTGGGAACCGAGGATCTTACGTTTCTAAGACAAGTGCGCTACCACTGCGCCACGGCTGCTCTGTAATTATAAGTAACATAATTTTGCATTAACACAAAAAGATGACGTGCAAATGATATGACATACAAATATGTTGATTTAAGTAGAATATATTATCTACTTAAATCAAAACTTTCTCATTGAGATTGAGGAATGACTGTAATACTATTATTTGGCAAAATCCTCGGCCATCGTCAACACTTTATTACAGACTAATTAAAAGCCTATTTTTAAAAAAACGCTGGAACTTACTGTATTAGAAACTAAGTTTTAAAAGAAATATCTGAAACTTTTCCAACACTGTGTATCGTTGGTGAATTTAAATTTATTGTGAAACACAATGACAGACGGAAAAGTATGAAGTATTTTAACTGATACCTGCTATAAACAAGAATGTTATACTTGTGGAGCTATTCCAAAAACGATGAATGGTGAATTAAGAGTTATGATTGACAAAAAAGAAATTAACAGTTTTGCATTCTTAATTTTTTTTTATTTTATTTTTTATTTTTTGAGCATTCTTTTAAATACTTGCTACACATTAGCTACATTTTGGACATAAAAAAGTGGCAAGTTAAAGGCAATTGGATTAAATGTCGTATCACAAACATTCGAAAGTTACTAAACAAAAAATTAAAATGCAAATAGATTTTATTATGGACCGAAACCTCGTTATTGGCTTTACAGCAGATGGCAACACACCTATCAGGTTTTTTCTAAATCCCGAAACGAGCCATGATATTGATTGTGTCGAATTTGAAAAATTTTGTTCTGAAACTAGGGCTTTAGATTTAAATTCGTGGTATTACATGTCTGTTACAGTGCACAAAATTTTAATGAATTGTGCTGAAGTTATAAAATCCTGTATTCCTTCAACGATTGTTGAAGACTTCGAGAACACCATAGTGGGATAAAATTGCGTGTTTCTACACATATGAATTTGCTGAATATAAAAACATCTAACTTTAACATTAACTAACTTAGAGAACTGCCTGAAAAAAGAAGCAAAAACGTGCCAATAAATGGTTTTAACTTAAGTCTTTTAAAGATTCATGTTATGAGAGTTTAAATAATACAAATTGCGAGTTTTCCGATAACTTATCATAAAATTTGCTTTATAATTTTATCTAGCTTTGTTTCTTAAATATATATATATATATATATATATATATATATATATATATATATATATATATATATATATATATATATATATATATATATATATATATATATATATATATATATATATATATATATATATATATATATATATATATATATATATATATATATATATATATATATATATATATATATATATATATATATATATATTCGTACTTCGTTTTTTTTTTATATAACAATGGTCGCTGCAATGAGGAAGGATGGGGGTTATATCCTAGGGGGTTTGCCCTTTATTCTCTAAAGAAGAAAACTTCTAAGTTATTAAACCATAGGTAATTATTTAATAGAACAACAAAGTATTACTTATTTCAACCTTTCATGACTAGAGCAATCAAATTATTGAATAAGATATTTTTGCCCAGTTAGATTGTATGAGACAATTTACTCTGCGATGCTCAATTTTATATTCATCGATTGAGCAGGCTAAAGGTGAATAAAATTTGCTCTCCTCCGTTGAATTTCTAAATATCTTACGCCGCTCTTTTAATTTCTATTTTGAGATGATTGAATTAAAATTACAACAAAATTTGCTCCCAATACATTTTTAGTGCAGATGATTATTTTTTAATGCAGAAAAAGTTTTTAAAAGAACAAAGTCCTTTTTAAAAGTTTTGCTGCATTAAAAATTATGAAGAAAATAATAATATTTTTAAAGAGAAATAAAAAAAATTACAAAATAACTTAAATAAAGTACCAAATAAAATACATAATGTTTAATTTAAAAAGTATTTATTAAAAGCAAAATCATTTAAGCCTATGTTGTTTTTTTTCAGTGGCGATTTTAGAAATAAAATGAGGGGTCACGGGGGAGGTGAATCTTTAAAAAATACTGACTGCTTTCTGAAAAAAAAAGCTCCTTAAAATTAAAAATCACCCGACTTAAATGTGTGAAATACCCGACTAGCCAACTATACTCCTCAAAAAACCGACTATAACTTGAAAATCGCCTTCTTTGGACAAAGTAGATACAACACCCGCCCCATCCCCTCCCTACACACACACACACACACACACACACACACACACACACACACACACACACACACAGACAGACACACCGTAGAATCCCCTCTACTTGTCTTTTTAGTTAATGAATAATTAATTGAAAAAGTTGTTGTTTTATTCTAATTTTTTTCTATTTATTTATTTTATTGATGGAGTGAAATAGATGTAGTTGATACAACGAAGCTAGATAATTTGTTGTTAATAACTATTTCGAGAAAGTTTTTCTCAAAGCTTCTATGTAAAAAACAATGTAAAGTTTATTATAATAACGATGAATTAGATATAACAAGTTTGGATTAAAAATATAATAAGATTAAGCTAAAAGTAATTCGATTTGAATATGAACGACAAATATATTTTTGTTGTATACTGCGACAACTGAAACCAAACGCTAAACCAAATTTGAAATTTAAAAGAAAATATTAAAATGAATTTAAATGGCTTATCAGCTTCTTGTGAAATTTAGTAATATAATAAGCAGAAGCTTATTGATGAAATTAAATTACGCACTTAATACAGGTTTTATTTTCTTTATTTTTAAATAATTTTTAGAAACAAATTTGACTTTGTTTTTACCAAATGTTTTTGAACATTGCACTAGTAATCTTGTATTATTTTTTAAATTTTAGAACGATTCCAATTTCAAAACATTTCTAACTAATTATATTCATCAAATTGTTTTTACAAAGTAGAAATAATGAACCTTTTGGGTAAAGTATAGGGCGTAGGGTGTGCCTACTTTATTGCACTTGATATCAGCACCATTTTTGAAAAGAAGAAAAAATTAATAATAAACAATATGTAAAATCTTACTTTTAGTTTACCTAATATTCAATATTTTGAATTATAGAAAAAAAATTTATTTGATTAAAAAAGATCATATAAAACAAGCTTTTTCAGGGTGTTTACTAACGTAATCTTTGTTTGCTTTGTTAATACGTATTCAGTGCAGAATTTATGTATAAGCTACACATGCTATAGCTTAGGACTCCCAATATTTAAAGATCTAACTTTATTTAAGAAAAAAAATGTCGAAGTTAGTAATTGTCACATACATCTTAATAAACTTAAGCATTATATGTCCTAACATTACACTGAGCGTCGCACATTACACTTACATTACACTGAGCGTCACACTCTTACTAAAAAAAGAAACAAGTTATTAATGTAATAATCATTTTATATTTTGAAATAATATTTACACAGGACATCATATATTCATTTTTGTGAAATTTTCTATTCATTTCATTCATTTTCAAATTCAATTCATATTTAAAAAAATTAACTGGTTAGAAAACCAAAGATTTTTTCTTTACCGGATTAATTTAGTTTACCAGTAATAAAGAGTTGTCAACCGATAGTTCTCTTTATAACACATGTTTATTTATTATGTTATTTAAAAATAATAATAATAACAAAGGTTTAATTATTATCTTTTTTTATATATCTATTTGAATTTCATGTTATACAACGCTCTTATATTCCAAAGATTTTTTGGTTTAGCAAAGGAACAGCCCCAAATAGTCATAAAGACTAATTCAAAGTAGCGTCTGTTATTGACCAACATTTTTGCTTACCAAAATAATGCTCAAGCGCTGAGTTTGATGTGACTGGATTTGAACTCGTATTGCACAACAGTCCGGGTTTTAACAATTTGTTTGACGCTTTAACCAACTTATCTATCCAGCCACATTTTATGAGATTAACCTGAATCAGTTCTCTATACAGTTTACACCCGTAAAAATGAATTAAAGTATCTAACTCAAGATAGCAAGAATAGTTTTTTTTTAGTTATAAACGGTCGGTTTGTTACATAAAATTTGTGTCAAATAAAAAACTGGTTTCTCCTTTAGTATCAAATCATTGACTTTAGTATCAAATCATTTGACTCAAATCGTCAATATTTGCGGAACAAATTAAAACAGAAAAAACTTTTATACGAAATTGTTTTTTGACTATTCTTGGTTTTTAATTAATTTAAGATATCATTAAATTGATTTATTAATTCTGATTGAATTAATCAGAGGCGTCCCTAGGGGAGGGGGTATAAGAGGGTGTCTAATTTCCTAGGAAATTTTTTGTCCGCAAATTTGGATCTATAGTTGACAGTAAGCAAGTGTTAGCTAATGAGGACCTTTTTTTTTTTTGATCTTAGACCGCAAAAAATTTTTTTAGACCTTACTCGGCAAAAAACAGATACGTTACCACCCTCTCACTCCCCTCCCCCCTCAACTTTTTTTTTTTTGGTTTACATTTGTTAGTCGTTGTACAGTTTTATATAACCAATAATAAAAATAACAATTTAAACTTACAGTTTAAATGTACAGTTTTATATAACCAATAATAAAAATAACAATTTAAACTTACAATGGTAGTAAGTTTAAATTGTTAACCGGTGTCATTGGCCTTGAAAATAAACAAGGTATCTAAAAGAATATTGCAAATATCTTGTCGTCAGAATCTTAAATAAGCATTTAACAAAGATAAGATTAAAAAAAAAAAAAAATTAATAAACTTTTACAAAATTGCAAGGTAAATAATCTGTCTAAAGATCAACAGGTTCTTGCCATCAGAATTTTATACAAGAGTAAACCAGCATATAAATTAAAAAGTAAAAAGTATAAGAACAATAAATAAAATAAGTAGGAACAAACTTCTATAAACTTAAACATGTATATAAACAATAAAAATGTAGACCAAAACATATTTTTAACTTTTATTACTAATAATAACTTAATATATTATCTAATGAAAGAATAAGGTTTTTCATTTTAAAAAGCAGAAAGTAATAGATAGTTCAAAATTAAAATTCGGCAAAACAATTTTATTCCAAAGATGTGGCGCTCGATAGGTGATACAATATTGATTAAAGTTTGTTTGATAAAAGCTTCATTTAAAAAGTTATTAATTCTCAAAATATATCAACTGATTTGTTTAAAGAAAAAAAGTTATTTAAAAAAAAGTTATTTTCACATATATACAAAACATTAAAATATTACATACATTTAACTCGCATATATTCAGAATTCTCATTTCAATAAAATGTTTTAAATGAGAGAAGCGATTTGCTAAATTGATTATACGGGTTGCGCGTTTCTGACGGAGATAAAGACGTTGCAACTTACTTTTTTCTGTACTTCCCCAAGCAATATTGGCGTAATTTAAATAACTATGAATAAATGAATAATAAAGTTGGATTAAGACTTTCTTATTGAGGTAGATTCGTGATTTACATAGGATCGCCATGTTTTTAGAAATTTTTGTGATTATATAATCAATATGGTGATTCCAAGTAATGTTTTAATCAAAATAAACACCTAAAAATTTTGTAACAAAATCTCTTTTTATTTCCTTTTGATCGATAAAGGTTTGAGGTAATTTTGATGGGAGAAACCGCTTTTTTGGTAATCGAATGAAATAAAACCCATTTTGTTTTATTAGTATTCAAGGATAACTTATTACACTTGAACCAACTATATATATATATATATATATATATATATATATATATATATATATATATATATATATATATATATATATATATATATATATATATATATATATATATATATATATATATATATATATATATATATATATATATATATATATATATATATATATATGTCTGAGTTTAGAGTTCACTGTTTTAAAAGGTTCAGCGATATCATAGTTAGAAAATAATAAACAAAAAATAATAACAAGTTGTGACAAAAGGTCCATCAGAAAATAAATAAAGCTGTCATGAAATAAACCAAAGTGATAGCTCAACACAAAAAAAAAATTTGTCTTAGAGGGTGAAACACCCTGAAAGAGTAACCTAAAAGTTGTCACATTTGAATTGTAAACAGCTCACAGTCTTCAAATACTAAATAAACGGACAGGAAAAAAAGTTCTTATCAACAACAATAATTGGTCATCATACATCAGTCAAAATGTTTTAAAATTGTATCAAAAAAATAACACAATTTTTACGTGTGTTAATCTCCTAAATCAACACATTTGACACAACCAATAAATTATTTTAAACACTAAAAATTAACTAAAAAACTGCTTGACAAACAGTTTTCATTTTGCATTTAAAGAAAGAAATTTGTAAATGAAACAGCTAGTGAAAGTATAAAATCAGGTTTTGCGAAGTGTGAAATTTTCTCTCTCGATTAATCTCGATTTAATACTTCTAATTAATTGTATGCTACTGAGGGATAAATTATCCTGTCAATAAAAGTCTTATTTCCGAAACATTTTTAACTCTTTTAAATGACAATTGAGCAGACGAAGTACTTTTAACAATAGGACGCAAAAATTAATTAAATATTGCACCAGTAAAAAGGGATTTGTCAAAAATCTGAATCAAAAATTATACCAGTCAATAATAACCTAAAAAAGTGCCCTAGAAACGAAAAAGAATTGAACATATTAACTCCAATGCAACATCAAACAATGATAATGTAAGTATGCGCCTTCACCCATTAACTAAAGCAAAAATAAAATAATAGACACTAGATAATTAATATCAAATCGCCTTATCTGGTATTGGAACGATACCAGTATAAGTATTGATATCACGCAATACTGGTGTTAAAATTATTGGTTATTTGGTATCGTTTGGTACCGATAGTATTACTTAGTATTGCAGCTCGGAAAATTTGTATTTTATTTTTATAAACAATTTGTAACTTAAAATAATAAATTTATATAATAACTGAGATGTATGGGAGAGTTGGGAGCAGCGAGGCATTAAAAAATATTTCTAAAATAATTTTAATATCTATTTATGTAATGTATCCCAGCGAACATGTCCTATTAGGGCCCATATGGGTTTGCCCAAGTGGGTTGTATGTGGGTTTTATATATGGGCTCAATATGGGCCCCATGTGGGCTAGCCCTTGAATGCAAATTTGCATTCAAGGGCTAGCCCACATGGGGCCCATATAGGGCCCATATAAAAAAGTTAAAAATATACAGTAGGTCTGATCGCGCGATAGTGAGGCATTATGAATTGTGGAAAATCATTAAAAAAATTTATCGCTTAACTTAACTTAGCCGTATGTTTATTTAAAAAAAAGCAGTAAAAGAGTTTTAAACTGTATTTAAAAAATATTTTTTTAAACATTAAAGAGAACTTAAACAAAAAAGGTACAAAGTCAGTTTTAAAAGAAAAAATTTTTTTTTTTTTTTTTTTTAAAGTTTTTGAAAGTGTATACGCTACAGTATTTAAGTTTTTTTAAATCTGTATTTAAGTTTTTTAAAACTCAAAAGCAAAAATGTATATAAAATGACACCTTTTAAAGAGGATATTTTAACGTTTATGACCTAGTTAAATGTAAGAATTGAATTTACTCATTTATATTTAACTATTAATATTACTATTTAATTATTTAAATGATGTGAATGTTTATTACTGTTTACCTTTTTCTTTGTATATTTGATTTCTTGTTTTTACTTCTATAAAGCTAGACTCAAGTCGTATGTTTATGACTACATATAAAATTATATATATTTAATTTAAAACT